TCCAAATACAAGGGAGAAAGAGGCACTTGCTTTTGGGGTATTGTTTCTATACGCCATCAAAGATATAACAGCCAGGACAAAAGTCAACATGAGTGGAAGGTTATTTTCCATATTCACCTTATAGCAACCTTGGTGCAGGGTATTTTCAAGGGATTAATGACCAGGCCAGTTTAATGGCTCTCTGCTGAACTTCAGGCTATCAACTTTTCACTGCCTATCATTAATCCCTAGAAAATATCTAGGCTCATGATAGATATGAGTGAAAAATAATACAGAGTGTGAAGGTAAGTATATTGGTATATGTATTGGTGAAGGTGTTTTGTCCCTGTACCAGACCTTACTGCTAACTTCAGCGCACTTCAGACTACAAGTAAATTAGCTACGGCTTAGGTTACAGTGTAATCACAAAGCTGCTTCACTGCACTCCTATTTATGTAGTGCATAATTGCTATCGTCTCTGGATGAAAGCTGAAATCATGATATTGCTGTCCCTCATGTTTCATACTGGGATGTACTACACAATACTGTGTTTTGAAGGATATCTGTAACAGGTAGGAGAGAGGACTAACACCTAGTGGGTAAAAGTCTGAACAAATAAGAAATATGAACCATCATACATCAGGTCACAGGCCATGGACTGTGGGTTGTCCTGCCTGGAAGGATGTAAAGGAGAGCCCAGACATTGAGAGCAAACTGTGCTTCCTCCTTTGTCCCAGCTGTGGTCTGGGGCTGGGAGTCAGCACTGAAAGGAGCTCCCTTCTCGCTTCACATTGTGACTGGCGCATGGCTAGGACCCATCAGGCATCATCGAAGATGGTTTGAGGCTCCCTCTTGCCACCAGACTTGAATGACTTGTGCTTTTAACACATCAATCCTGACAACACAAGGGAATGCAGTCCCTGTGGACAAGGCTTTAGCTCATGGATTTTCCCTCCATCTGACGTAGCGAGGCTGGGACATGGGTGAATGCATGTGCACACAAGGTAGAGACAATCTCAGAAGCACATCAGAGATTTCCTTCCTGATGTGGCCTCCGCAGGAGCAGGCCTGCTGTGGTTTCCATTAGACTTCAAGAAGTGCCAGTCTGCTGGGAGAATGAATTAGACTTGGCAAGTTTGCTAAACAAGTGCGTATCATACATAGCATTCATGGGTGATAGGCGGAATCTGTGGTTTTATCACTTAATGATACATGGATCCTCCTAGATTATTTAAGGATCTCTCTCTGGAGTTGTGTTTTGTGATCAGGCGGCATAACTAATGGCCAGGGATGATTACATACTGATTAAAAGCTACTTAAGAATCTCATCTGTCCAGGAAGGAAACACTAAGGCCTTCAATGTGAGGGAAGTATTTGACCCTATTTCATTTCAATTGTACCAGTTCATCTGCATTGGCTGGGAAACACTAATTCACCTAAATGAAAGCTTCTGGTGTGATTTTAATAAGCCTTTGCAGAGAAGCACTTTCTGCAGTGCTGGACATGTGGTCTCTGAAGGGAAGGTCCATTATAGTTACAAAAGATAGCTGACTGGGGCATCCTCTGTGAATTCAGAGAAACCAAGATGTAAATGTCTGTCTTGAACACTGGGAGGGACTGTTACATTTGAAGGGCAAAAAACTCCATGCCTGTGCTATAGACTCTCCCTGAATTACCTAGTCCCTGCTGAAAGAGGAATGATGTGGTTCCATTGAAGCTTTCCATGTCCAACTTTTGCTGTAACAGGTTTCTTAAGCTGTCCAGCAGAATTGTGTCTTGAGTATCTGACTAAAATATGATCTACAACACTTAAATAACTTCGTGCTACTTCAGAAGTGTTGCAATAGGGAAAAATGTGCTGAATAAGGTAGTGTAAAAGGAGAAGAGAAAGTGAAGTCATTAGAGGAAGCATTTGCAATCCAAATTCATCAGTAATGCCAAAGTTGAAGAGATGCAGTTTGTTTCAGAAAGTAGTAACATAGAAACAAACATAAATGCTAAAAAAAAAAAAAAAAAAGAAAAACCATTTTTAAATATTGCCCAAATTTGTGCCTTTGTGGAGGTCTTTTCCTTTGCATAAATATCCTGTTTGATTGATGAGCTAAGGGTTTGCGTATCTCAAGCTGTGTCAGATTGTGTTTGTTTAAGCCTCTAGACTCCTGTACTGTTGTACTTGTTGGAGACTCAACCGCTTCAGGTTGAGTTGCAGGACAGACACCATAGCAGGGTGACTCCTCGGCAAGTGCTTGGCTCTGCAGGATGATGGGTTGTATGTTCTTTAAGGGGAATTATCACATGTGCCAGAAGGGACTTGACCGTGATGACACAGGAGATCCCATTTACCTGTGTATGTGAATTTCTTGGTGTCAGAATGTACCTGAACCTCTCTCCAAATATAAACCTCAGCAGCGATACTTCAGTGAGTGCCAAAGCAGACACCAAATCAAGTCTTTGTTCCTGAGCTCCACAGCCATTATGGGAAGCTTTGCTGACAGTTATGAATGTCACTCATCCCAACACCCTTGCAGGGCTCTGATAAGTCTAAATAGCACTGGTTTATAGTCAGTCTCCACAGATGGTACGAAGTCTTTTAAATTCATTCCCCCAATGTAATCTGAATGCACCTGTATTGTCTACTAGGCATTTTCTGAACACATCAAAATAAATGTGGCGTCAGCTGCAACTGGAACTGTCCTTCTGAATACTCTCTTGTGCTGTCTAGAATGATTGCACATTTCAAACATAGGGATTGGTACCTCAGTTTTTGGTTTCTTTGTTTGTTTTGCTTGGTTTTAATATGGTTACTACCAAGTTACCTCTGTTCACTCATGGTTCCAGGCTTCTCTGGCATCCTCTTGGCTGAAGGCTTTAACTGGCAGTATAAAATAAGAAACACTGAAGCTGAGTATATTTGAGCTGTATATTTGAGTTCATCATACAGACTGTAGATTTGAGACCCAGCAGTGCTGTGTCTCCCAGCCTTGCTCACCAGCCCTGCTCTCAGGCAGCCTGTACTACTCCTTTCCCAGGCCAAGACAATGCCATGTGTGGCAAAGCAGCATCTTGCACAATGGGTGATGGCAGAAAATGTCCCAGCAGCATGACACTCCACTATGTGGACTGGTCACTGCTTTATCATTCTGTTAAAAAGGGAGGTAGGAAGATGTACAAATTTTGCCACTTGAATATGTTGAAATAGTTGAAATCCTCCTCCATGTCTTTAAATTTAGGAAGCTAAATATATAAGGAGGGGAAAAAAGTGAGGAAAACTATTAATAAGAAATGAGTATGTGGGATAAATCTAAATCTAATTCATGGTGCTTGTCACACCTTCCCATCAAACACTGCTCATGCCTCACTGGCACATGGTTGTGGGGAGTGTTGTGTTGCTGCCTCGTCTGTTGGCTTCTTTTGTGGCTGTTAGGAATGATGGTTCAGTATTATAATCAGGCTCTTGCAGAAGTTCAAGCAACCCAAAAATGGGTAATATCCTCTAACAAGGTCACAAGCTAATGAAATATAAAAGACATCCAGTAATTGCACTCCAATGGAAGTGTTAGCCATCATCCTTTCATGTCTGATATCCCAAATATGTCCCATGTGCATAGTACATAGGTTTATGGTACAAAACTCACACCTCTCGACTTTCCTACATAGGTGCTTTCCAGAATTAAGCATGCATGTAAGTAAGAATATCGTGTCTCATTTGGCACACAAATCACAAAATTAGATGCACAGGCAGCTTCTATTCCTTCACAAGAGCTTCTTCTAATGGGTATTTCATATTGCAGCAGTCTTTTTTAATAACTAAAGATGCTCTTAGGGAAGTTTGAGAGTTTCCCAAGTCTGGATTACAGCTTGAGCCTGCAAAGTGTAGAATTCATGGGATTTGACTCAACAAAGCATTTCTAAGGCTACTCATATGCCTAAAAGTGCAGAATTATCCGGCATTGCTTTGCTGCATTGATTAGTGAGATGTGATCAGAGATGTGAACCTATGGGGGGCAGGAAGCAGGCCAGCCACAACCGGCAGCCAGTCATAATCACCTCAATTGTATTAAAACAGTCTGGATTCCTATGTGATAGAAATAGTGACATAATCTTAAAGATGATATATGGTTCTGTGACAGGAGGTTGAGTAGGTTAAATGAAGTCACTGCTTAATGTTAGAAGGCTTCTGAATCTGTAAAGAACTACTTACCCAATGTAGCATGTGTTGCCACTGGGGACAGGTTAATAAAGGTGTCTCTTTGCCAGAGGATTTTTACAGATAGCTTTGAAAATAGTATCTGCATTAACAAAGTTTTATAATCTAAACAGCTCGTTTTGGGTTTCTGCTAGACAAAGAGCCCTACATCAGCTCTCTCAGTAAGGGCAGCTGGGAATCTGGGTCATTGTTCCTAGAATTAACTGATACAATCTGGTGGGAAGGTATGAAAATAATCTTGTCAAATCATTGCCTCATCATTCTCAGCTGCTTTGAGACTCATGGGCCCATACAATTGGAGGTGTGAGTCTGGCTTGCCCAGACCACTGAGGATGGCAAAGAAACTGTGGGGCACAGAGCTACTGGTGATTGGCCTGGAATAAAAGGCTAAAACCATGAGCTGTATTACCATGTACATAAGAGTCAGGACTAGAAAACAGACAAGGATAAATTCCTTACTGAATAGAAAGGCAGCATTACCCTACACATCCCAATGGGCAAATGTAAACTCATTTATTTTTTTACAAATATTTTTAGTAAGTAGAAGAAAGCTCACAAAAGGCAGAATGGAAAATGCTCAGGACCTTGTATCCTTTTTGTTACTGCAATCCCATAGATATACTTGACAGAATTGAAGAGTATTGAAAACACAGCAACAAAAGCCCAAGTATATTGTTCAGATTTTGTTTTTCAGAGAAAATACAAGATAAGGATAAAATTTAAGTCCTCCTGAATTCAGCAGCCAAAGACCATTATTTTTCAGTGAACAAAAGATTTTGCAGAAAAGATTCTGTACACAAAGATACAAGTGATCAAATTTGAAGAGTATAGTGTATTTACGAAAGTATTTTTACAATCTATTCTTTGCATACAGTGGCATGATAAAATATTATCTGATCACATAGTACTGTTACAGCAGAGAAAAATCAGATTTGGGTGATCTGCCTGAAGAGTTCTTTTTTTCCAGTCACTTGGATCTAAATCCACAAAATGCCGAGGATTCAGCTACGTGACGCCATGCTCAGCATCCATGGCTCTTGGGCAACAGTTACTTGTCGTACAATACATCACTGCTTGCTGCCAGAGTCCAGATCTTCCCAGCTCAAAATCAGCACCACTCAATGAGAGCTTTCCATGTGGCTTCAGCTCCAGCTCTGCATCACTGACCTGGGGAAACTACTTCATGCACCAGGATGGCATGAAGCCACCAGGTATTCCAGTGCTAGCAATAGGGAGGTATCTAACCCGGCCCAAACAAGGAGGGGAGGCAGCTGTGTTTGGATTCCCTTCAGGGTGGATGCAACATAACCAGGGTAAAAAAGTACGGCGCAAGGTCACAGCTCTAAAACAGTGTTTAAAATCATTAATCCCAAGTAGTATGAAGCACAAAGTAAGCAGGCTGGATTGCAGAGAGGGCTGCGGTTTAATGTACAACTATTCATGGTATTTCCCCATTTTCCATCAGGAGGGTACCTGTGCTCAGCACCTAATACCTGTACTTTCAGGCACCTAATTCGGGGCAGTGAATCCCATTTCAGCTCTGGCATCCCTCAGCATCACTCACCAATGCAATGATGCCCATAGCTCCCTCTGTGCTTCAGTTCTCCATTGTATGATTAATTAATAGTAACAACACTTACTGCCTCACCAGGGTATTGTAAAGAAAAAGCATGCTAAAAACAGTAAGGCACTCAGATACATAATAAGGACTTTGTAATCTCCTAAGGAAAACTTTAAAGAACTGATCAAATATAGTTCAAAGTTTAAGCCCTCTAAGACTGAATTTCTGTCCTAGATAATTTCAGTCCGGGAAGAAGGACTCCTGCAGCATGTTGGCCTTGTTATGCTGGCATCTGCACAACATCACCTTTATCAAGGCATTTTGCTAATGCAGAGGTCCCTGAGAAAGTCCCTGGTCAAGCTATGACCAGCCATGTTAGTTCCTTCCTAGCATGCTCTGGCCACAGGAACAGGCTGCCTTGCTGTCACCTAATGCACAGATATGTCCTGCCCTTGTTCTGCTCACACAGCTCTCTCATGTTGTATTTAAGATGAGCGTAAAGTCTATTTTACATTTCCATGAGCCAGAGGTGCAAGTCACAGTGCAGCTGCCAGTGGAAGGCAGCACCATATCCCTGGGATAATTCCAACACTGCAGTCAAAGAGAGTCAAAGAGTTTTAACTACATGGTGGGAAGATCCAGCCACCACAGCACTCAGCACAAAGCCTGTCAGGCTGCTGGAAGAGCTCTGCATTGATTTTGATGGCCACTGGCCTTGCACTATGTAGAGGTGTAGTACAGATACTGCACTGTATCCTAGCACTTTACAACAAACCAAATTTGTTTCTGTTCTAGTCTTCTCCTACAACAAAGAAGAGGAAGGACATCGCAGGACATAGAGCAAAATTTAAAAACCTAGTATGATTTCACAGCTGGCATCCACTTAACCCAGAAATAATATCCATTGAGCCCATGAAAACAGGTTTAAACCTCAATTATGCCATTCACTTCCTTCTTTGGTCCTTCTTGTTCCTCTCTCAAAGGTTCTAGCTCAGGCCCATCCTGTGTGGTTTCTTTGATCCAGTTATTTCTGACTTCATTTTCTGTCTTTACAGTTTTAGGATCCTCTTCTTTTGCTTTTCTCTCCTTTTCCTCCTTGGCAAGCATGCGATAATTATAATAATTCATTATGAACAGGAAGGTTCCTGCCAGGACCATCACAACTCCACATTTAATGAACATGTATTTATAGTCCCCAAAGGTATCGATAAGCGTTCCTGTAAAAGATACATATATAAAAAAAAGGAGCTTAGAGATGAAGGTAAGAAAATTTTGGTTTAGGATCCTAAAGGACACCCTTGTGGCTTTTGGATAAAATAAGACATTCTCCAGACTTCTGATCTCTTCCATAAATGCTCTGATCCTTCAAATACTTCACATGTTCCACTATATATCCTTTGGGTAGTCAACACTGAGATAAGTAATACTACCAATAATTCGTGCAGTTAAATAGAAGGTGACAGGAAACCTACATCGCAAAGTCTGGACTTTTCAGCACACCTATTTTTCCCATGCAGAAACTGATCCTCTCATCACAGAGACAGTCTTTTGTTGACTCTGGTGATCACCTACAAGGATGTTCATTTCAGTTGATAGCCATCAGGCTGACAGCAAAAGCATCAGCTTTTGGGAAGACCTTCATGAGATAGCACTTGGCCACTCAGTCTCATTTCACACTCCTGACAAAGACCCTCCAATTTATTCCACCACTGCTCATTCACCAGCATTAGAGGGGACTCATCTTTTGGTCACAGCTGCCCTTGCTGCATTTATACTCATGATGTAAAGATGAAAGGGCGCTGCACGGAACTGGAAAACATTAGTTCCAGGGAATGCAAAGATGATGCTGTCAATGTCAGATAATTTCAATGCCAAGACAAATGTGTCAGGTTCTTCTCAAAGGTTAATGCCTCTGCCATGGAGTTACAGAGTAATTGAAGGGAGACTGCTTAATTGAAATGTCACTGTTCTCCATTATGTCAAAATGTAATGAAAATCTTACTGGGATTATGATCCTGAGCATTAATTCCATTTACTGGTGCAATACCGACCATTCTTAACATCCCAAATCCTAATTAAGGTAAGACTCGCTCCTAACCTGGCCTTCATAGTACAAATAGCCCTCCTTGAAACTGGCCCATCATCTATTAGCTCTCTGACTTCTTCAAATATGTTCTCCTCCTTAAAAAGAGGGACCTTTAATTACTTCCTGACTGAACCCTAATGTTGAAAAGCTGATGATTAATTCTCCCACTGCATTACACTAACAAAGGATTTTATGGCCACCAAATAGGTTTCTTGATCACAAAAATAACTGGTTTTAACTGGTTTTGGCCACGATTCTTCCTGAATCATTCCTAGGTATTTTGGAACATCATTGTCAATGGACTGGTTTTCATGTTACTGGTGAAACATCAACCAAATGCTAATTGCAACAATCTTCCCTTTTCTGCTAATCAGGATGACCTAGAGGTCTCCTAAATGAGTTTCAATGAGAGTTTTAATGAGCAGAGTATTGGAAAATTCAACAGTAGGATCGTCTTGCCTCTTTTCCTTTGAGAATAAGATAAAGTCATAAAACACACTGGGAACAATTTACTTAGTTCATTAAAGCAGAACCCTGCAGTAGGTTATTAAAATGCCAAAGAGCCAATAAATTTGCTGCTTATTAAAATGGTGGGGAAAAACCTACAAAACTAATATTCCTGATTATGGCATAGAACAGTTTTAGCCTCATTAGCAGTCTCTGGTCATTAACCTAATCTTCCACACAGAAAATTGTATCATTCAGAAAACAGTCATTTTGAAATTGTATTTTCTTTTGTTTGTCATTAATTAAATGAATCAGTAAGATAGCAAGAGGATACAGCTGCTTCTGTCACACTGGATGAGCTACATGGCAATATGAAGAATTAAATGGCTCTGCCCAATGTGTCATACAGAGTATCAGCCATGTCTCAGTTTTGAATCTAGGAAATAGATTTAAAGTGACTTCTTTCTGTTCATTCTTTACCTGTATTATGGCATTGTCGTATCAAAAGAATTAGCAGAGTTTAACTTTCACACATCTGAATACAGAGAGCACACACAAACTAATTCAACTTTTTTGCATACTTAAAGTGACCAATTTCCAAACTACTTATTCAGACGTTCATACAGGTGACATGCAAATTGCAGGACAGAGCACCCTATATATATGACAGTATCTGTACACTGAGATGATGTCACCTATAATGTCATTTATTTCATAGCCAACTCAGATCTGATAAGGACTTTACTAAGGCCAAATGCCAGATTCAAATATCATTCAAATTTAAAACCCATGTCTTTCAGACAAGGTGTGATCCTTGTAGAAAAAGAAGTGAGCGCATGCTGTAGAGGGGAAGAAGCGGAGGCTGTTAAAATGACAAAAGATCACTGTTCCCACTTACCTTCAGATGACTGTAAGCCCTACTGGAGGTTCAATAGTGTCAGCATGGACCTTTGAGGGTCTCTGCCTCTTGATATTTCAAAGCATTCCATCCAAAGTAAACCCTTTTTGTTATTATTATTATTGTTGGAACAGCCTTATCAATCTGATAGATTTAAGGCTGTGATTATATGACTAAAATGTGATTATATGATAAATAAAATCCATAAAAGGAAGTACTCAAAGCCTTACACACAAATAGCAAGGCTTAGCTTTGATTTAACAAGAGGATCTGTTAGAACTGTTGTGTTTTACTGTGCTTAAATGTGGAAGTTTTGCAACAGGAGAAGTCTCCAGGAGGAGTTATCTGGTGTTGCAGGAAGTCCCAGTCCGCAAGTTCAGCTCAAGTGGTTGAAGGGATCAGGAATGAAAATCACTTCCAAACTGTTGACTTCAACTGGAGGGCTACACAGGAAGGAGATACCTAAGACCTGCTGTCCCTGTTCAATTACTAGTGGAAAAATGGTGGGTGGGAAGCAGAGAAAACACAGGTAGAATCACTTCTTACAAACTGTGCTTGCAAGATGCTAAATGTGACAACCCAGTGGGAGCAGAGGAAGAAAATGCACTCACCTCCAATAGGTGGCCCCAGCAGTATTGTACAGCACTCTGCAATGGTGACCAGGCCAACAGCGCTTGTGAACCGGGCAGCTCCCACGAGGTCCATGAGTGTTTCAAAGAGCATGGCACAAACCATGCCAAAAGCCAAGCCAAAAAAGACAGAATAGACAACGAGTCCTGTGTAGCTCGAAGCCAGTGGGCACAGAAGGTGGCACGTGCCATTGAAAGCGATGGAGAAGCTGAAAAAGTATTGAATCCGTGGCCTCACCCACTTGCTGTTTGCAATGATGCCAGTGGTAGGACGGGCAACTATATCCACGATAGCAAGGATTGAAAGGAGGAAAGCAGCTGAATATTCATCAATGCCAATGTGCTTTGCATAGGGTGCCAGAAAAATAATGGGGGCAAAAAAGCCCAGGAACATGAGCACGTTTCCAATCAAGTAAATCAAAAACCCTCTGTGCTTAAAGAGGGAAAAATCGAGGTACTGATTGATTTTTTCACAACAGTCCCTGTCTCCTTCCTCTTCTGTTTTGTTCTTCATGGGCAGGTTTGTGGGACTACTCATTTCCATGGCATCTTCAGTGACTTCTCGTTTCAGAGAACCCTTCCCTTCCTCGGTCGCCTGAGTTTTGACTGATGCTGTGCCTGGCCCAATGGGTCTGAAGAGAGCTCCTGCCACACAGCAGTTCAGTAAAATTGCCCCAAGGATTAAGAAGCTGCCTCTCCAGCCAAAACTGTCAAAAAGGAACTGATTGAGAGGAGCCAGGGTGCAAAGCATCACGGGGCTCCCTGCCATAGCAAGGCCATTCGCAATGGGTCTTCTCTTCAGAAAGTATTTCCCTATCATTATCACTGATGGCTGGAGGTTGAGAGCAAGGCCCAGTCCTGGAACAGAGAAAAGTAGTTGAGACACAATGGAAGATACGAGACCCATTTAACCTCAGCTCATTGTTTAAGGCAGACTCATGAGCAATTGGTCCACTGGTGGCTCTTCAACATGATAGTCTGGATACAAACTTTGCTCAAGATACCCCTAAGCTAACGTGGGTAACCAGATCCCAGGAAGATACTTGCAGTCAGAGAACACTCCTTCCTCTTGCACAGCAAATCTCTTGGGTGGCAAACTTATCACAAAGAGTTTGCTTCAGAATAAACTGAAACTATAACTCTCAGTGAGTTAGTTTTGTCCAAAAACAGCAGCGTTGCTGCAGGAGAGGATGGATCTATTAAAAAACAAATGACAGCTCCCAGTTTGAGGAAGGTTGTTGTGGCTTGGACAGTGCAAACCACAGCCTTCTCAGGTGCATCTTGAGCTAGCACCCCCTTCCACAGGTGGTGGGCACCCAACACTGCTGCTGGGCACAGTAAATAACATCACCCTTCTCAGCCTCTACTAATGTGGTGGCGTGAGCAATTCAGGTCTGATGCAAAAGATGAAGAGGTCTGCAAGTACACAGCAGAACAGCGACTGAGGATGCTAATTAAACAGGGCCCTAGAGTGTTTCTTTTAATTAGAATTTATTTTTATTGCACTTAGATATATAAATGGCATTACAAATTTGCATTGCTAATTCAGTTAGCCAGCTTCCCTTGCACAGGTGAAATCTGAAGGCAAATGCTATCACAGTCTCAACTTTCTGTGGTTCTGTTTGAGAGCACTTGCCTATAACAATCTCTTCTTTTCAAACATTGCTGCAATGTGCAGTATTTCCTTCAAAAGTTAAATTTTCAGAACTCCATCAAAATGACATTTAAAAACCATATCACATATTTTCCACCCTATCATCCAGGAAAGAATGAGCCCCATTAGAACAAAGCAGAAATGTAATCCTTGAAGTGATTATATCAGATATATCAGTGATTATAACATGAATCCTGAAAATAGGGTCATGCAGATTTTTCTTGTTCATTAGTCTATATAATTAGTTTGTTTAACTGTGCAGTACATAATTAGGCATATTGCTTTACAGGAGAGAATTTAGAAAGGTCAAGGTCCTCAAAATTAATTAAGGAACACTATCATTAGTCGCTGATAGAGCAGAATCCAACTGATGCAGCAAAATTCAGCTGATGTTGGATAGCTTCGGTCTGAATGGTTTTACAAAATGATGATTTTTGCCAAGTCTAAGATTCTTTAAAAATAAATACTTGGAGGTTTGAAGCATTAAAATAAATTGAAATGGCAACAGATTAAAATTAACCTTGATATGTAACAAATTCTCAGCATGAACTTTTCTAGATAGTCCATTTATTTGGTAGGGCATCTCTTTGGGAAGTACAGGCTGCTCATAATGCATAAGGGGGCAAATTCATCCCCATGAAAGGGCTGACCTGAGGACTACAGAGACAAAACACAGCCTTGGTTAGAGGAAAAACCTTGATGGTCCTCAGATACAGGAATGCAGCTGTTTTCACCTGAGAAGATGCAGCACAGTGGATTAGAGTTTGCTTTATCTCCCTATTTCCCATGCTGGTAGATAAGGGCAGAAATCGAACCATCATTTCCACAGAATCATTTTTGGTAGGGACTTAGCACATGTCATGCAGAGAAGGAAAAATCAGATGCCAGCTACTCACTTAAACAATGATCTACTCCATTTTTTTATTATATGAACATTAATTTGCCAGTCAGACAAATCTAATTTAATATTACCTCATGCTCTTCCCATTAATTAAATTTGGAGAGTTTCAAACTGACTGACTGGAATTCCAATTTGCTTTAAGCTTTTGGATGACTTTAGTTGGAAATATTTATATCCATTTTATTCCAGTTTTCAGAAGTACAGCAGCTTTTCCATAGCTGAAATCATTACTCAAATAACCACATTTTCTCCCCAGGTATATGACAGAAAAGCCTATTGATGGTGTTGCATGAACAGAAGCAAGCCCATGCCAGAAGGAGCATCCTTCCTTAGATTAAATACATCTCCCTCATATTAGAAAGAAATAAGTGGTGCTACAGGAGTAAGCTGTGTAGCTATTGATCTTGTTCTTAACTTATTAGCAAGGGAAGATTCCACAGGTATTTCAATGCTCAACACTTACAGCTAAGGCAAAACCTCTAGTCTCATTAGTCAACACGCTTCACCCTAGATTCCACTTTATTTCATGGCTGTCTAATTGGCACAGATGGACCTAAACTCTGACCAGTTTTTATTGCCTTGTATTTAGCTTTGAAATTCGCTGTTTCTACCTCAGACTTGAAGAAGGGGTCGCATGCCTGAACACCTATTTAATGCACCCAGGCTGGCATCTATCCAGGTCAACAGCTTGCAAACTCCATTTCTTTTTCTAAGCACTATAGGGAAACACGTGAGGAAGAGAACATGGGTTTTACAGCGCATGCAAGTGCCTCGTGCAGCCCACAGCTCGGTGCCATCGAGAACAGAACTGCTTCAGAGCAGCAAAGCCTTGTCACTGCTCTGCATGCAAATCGAGAAAGACATAATCAAGAAAGCAACTGAGACTTCTATGTCTAATCCCTCCACTGTAAACAGATACTTCCTGCTCTGCCCCTCTGAAGAGATTGCTATTAATATGCCAAAAGCATAGGACTGTGGCAAAGACCTCCTAGTAACAACTATCTTGTTTTTATCTCCATCCCTGTGAATTACACAAACAGGGTCTTTCACATCAGCCTGTTTCCTTTTCAGGCTGGTGGGAAGGAGGCTAGAAAAGAATGTGATGTTTACAGGTTGCTTTCCAGTCACTGCAAATCATCTTTACAGAAGTCTCTCACCACTGATGCTGTCTCAGCTGCGTGATAAGCAGGCAGCTTCGTAATTGCCCTTGAATGCTTCCATGTTAGGCCTGACCAGCAAAAGCACTTCAAGTGCAATTAGAGGCATCAAGCATGTTAGCAGGATTACAAGGATCTTCCCTTCTCTGTCAAATTAATATTCCTTTCCCAGCACACATACCATGCCTGGAAATGATGGGTTATTAGCTAAGACCTCATCCATACAGCTGCCCCCGTTCAGCAAGCAGAAGGAAAAGATGTACACAACAAAATATGTGCTTTGCTTTGAGGAAATATCACAGCATTAAAAATGAGGAGATATTCGAGCTGTTTGCCCTGTATCCTTTTGCTGGCACAAGGGTTACATGTGTGCATCAAGCACAGCTCATACTATCAGCTCTATGGGGTAAGCAATGGACCAGATTTGTAAAGATACTAGGGAGCAAAACAGAGCAGGGTCTTCATAAATCCTATGCCCATTGGAATTAGGCACAGAATTCCCTCCTGGTGTGTTTTTAGGTAAGTATCTTTGAACATAGGAGTTAGTGCTTTCCTATAGCACTGTTCCTCGCCTGAGCCCTTCCGCTTACCAAAACGCATATATTTTTAGCAAAGGATTTATGGTTTCCATGCACTAATCCAGCATTAGCCAACTTGCTTGAGGACATTTGTTTAGTACAGAATGATGCAAGCTCATGCATCAATAACTCTTGAATTTATTCATGGCAGACACTGGTTATTTTTATTTTTCATTGCTTTGTTTATGGAATCTCTTTCAAGGAATCTGCAAGATTTAGTCATTCAGTAATAACACAGTTTCATCTAACTGCAGTGACTCTACTTGGAAAGATTGAGTTTTAGGAGAGGGAATCCTACACAGGGATTTATTCTCTACTGTATGGATTTAATGAAGCAATATTGGCGTAGGAGAATAGGGTGACAAACTTTCTGTCCCAATTTACTTTGTTAGTGGCTGGTTTTATTGATTTTTAAATGTTGAGCTCGTGCTTTTCATGATCAGAAAGCAGTAGCACTTAATACAGCTGCAGAGAGATAGGGAACACTCATTTAAACGTATGCCTTGCAACCTCAAAAGCCAATTTTGAACTCATTGTGTCATGTTTTTAGGCAGGTGTTCTCAGTGCAGTGGAAGGAACAGTGGCTGTACCTTAGCCAAAATAATCAAACAAAAATGCTTGCAGTTAAGAATCTACAACTCAGGTTGGGAACTCCATCTACCTTTAAAAGCAATAACCCAGCACCTGCAGGCTTTCAAGATGCTGGACTGAACCTATGTCTTCTTCTGTTTAAGTTTCCAATATGGAAATTCATATTTCAGTACAGACAAGTCAAACTGTAATTTCAAAAAGGAAATACAGTCTTATTTTTTCTTAATAGGGAGAATATTGCATCTTTTCAATCAATTCCAGTAGTTATTCTTTTCAGATAACCTCACAAGTAGGCAAAGCACAAGCAAACACCTAAACTCTCATTTCCTGCATCTCATGGAGGGAAGACAGAACACAGTAATACAGGAACACAGGTGCTTTCTTCATAGTCACACTTGAACCTTGAAGGACTCGCCATGCCCAGGGCAGAGTGCAGTCAACCTTCATTCACTTCAGCAGGAGCTGAGGGCACTGATGGCCATCCTCACCACCGCTTCCAGCCAAGAGCACCCATCTGCACAGAGCAGATCCACTGCTGTGATCCCGCACGCGATGTTCAGGAACACAGCGCTTAGCAGGGGATGTGCTCTTTGCTGAAGTTCATCTAGAGCACTTAGTAAGAGAGGGCCCTTGTCCCACTAGCTTTTTATCTCATTTCCCATTGCGTTCGGCTGCAGTGCCCAAGTGTGAACACCCCAAGCCACCAGATGTGAACCTCAAGTGCACATGGAAAGGAGATGCTTTGTTCTTACCTGTAATGAAGCCCACACAGATGTAGAGCTGCATGATACTGGTGCAGAAAGCAGCTGAGACCATCCCAATGCCACACAGCAGGCCTCCCAACATAACCACGGGTCGACTGCCATAGCGGTTTACTAGAATACTGCTAATGGGACCTGGGGAAAGAGCACAGAATGGTCCTTGAGGTAGGTATCTTCTGACAGAAGGGCATGTTTTACACAAAGGAGGTTAAGAGATGCTGCTGACAGCTTCTAACATGACTTCAGGAAGAAAATGGAAAAGGAGAGAAAGATGATTCATACTGTGTGGAGATGGCAGCATGTCCCGTGCCACACTGTGTCACTCTTGGTGACAGTTCCTGCCCCCAGGACTTTCAAGTGTCATCAGAGAAGGCAAACAGCAACACCAAATCAGGTGAACACATGATCCCAACATAGGACCTCCTTGATTTATTATGATGCTAAACCATACACACAAAGCAGGGGTTCATATTACTAGGCTGATATCATGAGTACTGTTGCATTTTTAATGCCTCTATTTAATGCAATTCCAATAGTGCTGACCAGAACTGAAGCTTCAGCAGAACAGTTGTTAATTAAATCTTAATAGCGGTCTATGTAGGTAGAAATGGTTTGGGATGATGGATTACCTGGATCTCAAAGGAATCAGTTTGGTCTTGCGTTTATGTAGAGAGGTGGTGCAGGACAACGCAAAATTAAGAAGGAGATAAATGGCTTAACAAAGACTGCACACAAGGAAATGAAGCACTGAAACCTGAGGAAGTGAAACACGCCAGCAGCTTTGAGTGGTGGAGGAAAGAAGGGAGGTTTTGTGTATAGTAGGCCCAACTAGCTGAGGGACTAATACAAATCAGAATCAGAGAATAATCTATGTTGGAGGGACAATGAAGGGACTAACCTCTTGCTCAAAGCAAAGCCAATTCTGAAGGTAGAAGAGGCTGAGATGTCAGAACTAGGGAATGCAAACAGAGCAGGAAAGAGTGGTCCAGAAATCAAGCTATGAGATGGAAGGAAAAGATTCTGTACTCCTCAAAAACCCTGAAGCAAAATGCTGCAAAGAAATGCTGGAAAGAGGCAGGGGAGTACAGGCAGTGTTTACTACCTTATCTGACTAGTTCTGGTGCTACTCAACAATGGTGTTTCAGAGCCCAGCGTTCCTGCTAGCCTTCATTTCTGCCCTTTGTAACAGCCCACGCTGTCCACATACGGATTACTGGAAACAGGCATCTTTAGCTTACAGGCATCTCTGAAGAGTTTGACTGTGGGATCCACCTCACTGCAGAGCCAGTCAGTAGGATATTTGCTTTTGCTTAAATAATCTTAGCCAGAAATAGTGCCAGAACTTTTTCCAGACCTTGCAAACCATGGCACACAGGAACGAGACCCAAAAACCCCAATATTCCTGGAACATGGCTGAGAGCATCTGAACAAGTTCTCAGCTGTTACAATGTGCAAGAATAAAAACCAGTAGATGTGACTGGTTTAATATAGAAAATGGACATATAAAATACTTCCCACTACATGCCTAAGGTCAAATCACTCCCAAATGAAATACACACAAGCACAGTCTTAACAGCATCCCTGTATCTGCATGATCTGAGCTGGTCCCATTGAATACACCATTCAATTAACATTTATGTGAGTGCATAATTCCACAGAGAGCTTTTTGTCCTAAACCAGTGACTGGATTCACATCATGCATCCTTTTGCTGCACAGAGCACTACAGAACTCAGTTAAGTTCTGGGGAAAGAGATACATACATGTGATCAGCACAACAGGAAAGGGACCCTTTTTCTCACTGAGCTTCCCCTGGTCGGAGCTTGGAATGCATCATGCTTAAGCCAGTGTCAGCATGTCCTTTAATTAAACAGATCAAGCCAGTGTTCCTCAGAAAGGCACCAACATGTTCATCTGCAGCCTAAGGGCACACAACTCTTCCATTTTTCAATTTTCCACATGTCCACATTTCTCCAGAATCAGTCTAATTACTCAACTAAGAAAATGTGGTTTCAATTACCTTTTTACACTGGAAGAGGACTTTCACATTAGCCCTAAAAATACAGGATGTCCCACCATGGAGCAGAGCATTTAAACCCCACAGGATTCTTGCTAAGGCCCCTCTCCTACTCTGACACAGGACAGATCCCAGGGAGAGAAGCCCCTGCTATGAGAAGTCAAGCAAAATGTTCACATATGTTCTACTCTTGCAGCATCCACCTTGAGAGAAGGGAAATATGGATCCACAGTGCTCTCACTCGATTCCACAAGCTCTTGTATTGGTTTCACCCATCAGTTAGGACAAGTTTGGACCATGACAGCAGATGATGAACTGGAAGGGGATGAGGGTGGGATACATTCTGCTCTGCTTCCCAGCTATAGAGACAACCTGGGATAGAGGCTAGAGTAGATGAAAGCAAAAATTTGTATCCCAACCACTGGCTTTACAAATGGGGGTGTCACTGTGGCATCCTCCACAAACATGCAACGCCCTCAAATACAGCCCAAGACATATTTGAGCCAAGAGACTACAACTGGTCCCTGTTCTTGTATTGTGTGATCTCTTGGCAATGTGTTTCAGCAGTGATCTTCAGCAAACAGCCTTTATCTCCTGTAACGAGCATTGTCAGTTTTACAGGGGGATAATCAACCTCACTTGTTTGCCAGTCTGGGTGGGAGAGCTGTGGTCTCAAAGGCATTACCTGCCTGGGCTGGGCTGAGCTCACAGGGAGCTGTGATGAACTTCAGAAGCAACATCAGCCTTTCTCCTTCACAGACTGAAACCTTACACCCAGACCCTGTGGGCCTGCTTTGCTAAAGACACAAAGCATAAAGGATCACGCCACACTCTTGCGAGTGACATCATTTGATCTTCCTGACCAGCCTCACCCACATACGACTGAGAGTTGGAGTCCTCCAAGATACTAAGTACAGCCAGTTAAAGGAGAAAACAGTAGCAGAGCACTGGGGCTAAACCTTTCAAGCCAACAGAGAATACACAGCAAAGGCCATGATGAGCACTCACCCTGCAAGGAAAGCACCATCTAGCCCATCCCATGCTTTAGGAGACACCAGAGAATCCAACCCAAGGACTCAAAACAGTTGGGAAACCAAACTTCCCTGAGCTGCTGCTCACAGGCCAAAGGTTTTGTAACAGTCCTGAGCAGACCTTTTAAACGCACTGAAGCAAACGCAAAATCACATCCCCAGAATTACTTCCACTCAAGTCATTTGGTCCTACATAAAACCATAGGCTTTAATGTAGCAGCCTTTCAAAAGCTGTCCCATCTCTCAGCAGAAACCAAGTGTGTGCAGTATGTCACATAGCTGCTGTGCACACTTCAGCACGCAAACCCTGCCAGTTTGGGCAGGCACATGAAGCACAGACACGTGCACCTTCACCCTGCCCAGATGCCTTCACTGATCAGCATCACACCCAACAGATCTAAATGCACCTCTCCTGCCCTGCTCTGCCACATGCCACCTGCAGCATATCTCTGGCAGGGGGCTTATTAGAGATCAGACCTAAGTTCAACAGCAGCCTTCTGGGGAGCTCTGGAAAACATCAAACAGCTCAAGTCAGGGCAAAGGAATTAAGGAGAGGGAACAACAAAGCCCCCACCTTTGGGAAGTTGTGGGAAATGGGAAACACGATTACTGCTTTGCTTGCAGCTATTGCACAAATTAAAAGTGTGACAGCCCCTGGAAACACAGTGGAACTGAAAAGCACGACCTGTTATTTACCAGTTATTTAGCCAGCATGAAACAAATAAAGATGCTGTGTATTACCACACAGAAACCATTTACAATAACAACGTGTGCAGTTTAGATCCCAAGGCACCTTTATTTGCTAATACCTGCCTGGTCAAATGTGCAGAAATCACAGGTTCTCTTGTCCTAGCACCCAAACTAAATCATTCTCCCTTTGTGCAAGCCAGGAGAAGCCAACAGGAGTTGGGGTGACTTTTACCTCTTAATTTACAGAGACAGGTGAGGACAGCAGAAGCTCTCAGAAAGCCGCTATTTACCTGGCTTTGCCTTGCAGAACCAGCCACGTGAATGCTGCCTGAGTCCCCGAAATGTCATAGCAAGGAGCAAAAGCTTTCTCATCCCCAGTGCATAGCTTCACTGGGACCAGGGCTAGTGCCACCCAGGCAGCACTGTTCCCACAACTCCACCACCATGGCAGCACTGCAACATCTAATGAGGAAATTAGAAGTAAAACTTAATCACCTCTTTGTAACCTAATACATTTCAAGGACAAGGCACTTCACTGCAGGAAGAGGTGGCACTTCCACCCACCCATACTTGGGAAACACGCAGCCCCTTCCGCAAACCAGCAAGTGGCTTCTTCCCTCCTGACCAACTTCCAGCCATCGTTTATCATCTATAACAAAGAGAGATGCTGAGCCTCATCTTGCTGCTGGTTTTGTTGAGAGCTGTGCCCATGGCCCCGCACCTCCTCTGGCTCACAGGGCAGTGTTGGAAGGGCACGTGGTCTCCAGTGGGGCTACCACCATCCCCACCGGCAAGGAAAGAGCAAGGAAAGCCCACTCAAGCACTTCACTTTACACCCTAATCCCTTGCAGAACAGGATGCACACAAGATGAGTTTACTGCAGTAAAAGTCTGCAGTCAGGAGAGCAACAGCTTACAGCAAATGTCCCCAAAAGATGTAGCTGGGATCATGGCATTCCTGGAAGACTGATGCAATGTAAAGTGCTATCCTCAGCCCATATAAATCATGCTGGTTTAGTGCCTGTCCTGTATAAAGCCTCTTTTCTCATACCTGTGGCAGATTTCCATTCGTTGTTAGCTGGTACATGAAAGGCCATGTCAAAGAAGCTGATCTTGGTGGCAAGCAAAACACAGCAGCTTGCCGGTGGGAAACACAGCAAGCAAGCCCTGTCTCATTTATTAGCTTGTCCAATTACTTCTCACCTTGAGTTTTGTGTTTGTAGAAGTGAAAAGGACCCTGAAGAGGAGTTTGCAAAACCATAAAGAAAATGCAGAATCCTCTGGTCTCCACAAAGCCAGGCCATTTGTTATTTATTCTTCCTGAGCTGCTGAAATATGATCCAAAGAGGATCATAATGCAGAGTTGGCATTTAACAAGAAATATCAATCCAGACTGGCTT